CATAATAAACGAATTGATCGCCGCGACAATAAACCGAATAATCTCGCGATCACGTAGACTCTCCATGTGTTTCGCGTGGCTTTTTATGCCGGAACCTATGTATGTGAATTTTTTAAATATTTCGGTGTAAAGTCTCACTTAAAGACATTAAATAAAACTGAAAAGAACAAGTAAACATTTTTCCCTATTACGTTTCTTTTTTCTCAAAAACCAATTATTTTGACCACTTTCGTGAGAGTAGGTCGTTAATCGATAATAGTTCTCAATCGATTAGAGTAAATTTGTTTCAATGACAGTAAAGTGCATTGAGTTCCAAAACGTAGTCTGAACAGTTTTCTCTTTTTCCAATGCAGTTTGGAACGCTGCCAATGATTTAATGAGAAAACTTCACTTCTGGAAATTAATCAAAAAGAAGTTCTCTCATTGTGTGGATCATCGGCTGCGTTCCAAACTGCATCGATAAAACTGTTCAAAGTCAGTTTTGACCCAGTATACGTTGGATATATTTTTCAATTTTGATTAAGGTCGCTTTTCTAGTCGATTCTTTTTATCACTATTTCTATTGCGATTGAATATCTCATTAGAGCCATTTTTTTTCTTTAGAAACGTTTCCTTCTTCCGAGGTTAAACAAGAGATTATTCATCTGTCTTGCGAACGGGATATATAAATTCTCATTCGCCGATATTCTTTGCTGAATCCCTCAGAAACTATCGCGAAGTTTCCCAAAAGTGACAGAAGACTTTCAGCTCGGTGCGCTCTACCTGAACACGTATATTCACGTGCACATGTTTGTCCGATAATGGTTAGATGAAAACGACTCTCTCAAAATATCATTTAAATAGTTCGTGCGCGAACCGACACCTGTCTCGCATGCGTAGTAAGTTTCGGAATCAGATGCGCGTTATACGATGCTGTCGTGAAACTGAACCCCACACTATCGGGGATCATGTCTATCCAGGTGATCTGAGTCGTAATGAAGCTGCAGTCACCGTAGTCCAACAAGATCATCTGACATAGCTCACATACGCTTGTAATCACGATATATCTCGTTCGATTCCCTCACTCCGCTTAACATTCACGTTAATCCGGGATATGCGCACGCGATAACGTGCATATCGATTCGAAGCGATATGCGAAACATCGTTGTTCTCTTCTCTTCTCCTTTCCTCTCTCCTTTCTTCTCTACCCGACCGGCAGCGTCCTGTCCGGTTGAAATTGAACCGCGAATTATATCGAACCGTCCGCGACGGCAACGACGATAAATACGAGAAAGAAAACCGGAATCTCGTGTTACCATGCTGTAACCAAGAGACAGGATGCGAAAGTCGAACCGCGTGCATTACTCGCGACGACGACAACGACGACGGTGACGACTAGCGCATCGTGGCATGACTCATCGGCGTTCTGATGAACTCTCGAAACGATTTTCCGGTGCTTTGAGGGAACCAAGCCTGCCTCTGGCGCCCGCGTTACGCGGCGTACGTTCAGGCATTCCTTTTGTCCCTTTTTTCGCGTGGGCCGAAGTAGGACGTAAAAATAAACCAAGTATACGCGGGAAAATCATTTCGAACACGCAAAGTAAACACTGTGTATCCGCGTCTGGAAAGAGTCCGATCGGGAGAAGAGTGACAGGGGAAACCGGGGCTAGATGTCCCAGAATTTCGAAGTTACAACTTCTGAGACAACCTATTGTTGCGACTAACTGTATAAACATGATAGAGACGGTCTTCTTCTGCATGTTAATGTCCGCTACGATCATGTTAGCCGTATATTTTTATTGGTAACAAACAAAATATAAATATGCAGCAACGTAGTCATCTTGCTTTGGTTCAGTTATCTAGTAAGGCAAGATAACAAGGCCACATATTAAATATATATTCTGACTTAATAGTTTCGTTTCTCTGCGAGAAGTTCTCCACAGCCCTTAATTGTGGCCAACTTTACTTGATCCGTCCATATGTTCTATTTCAATTATTTTGAAAATTGCTGAATAAAAATTGCTCTTATTGTCCGATGTTATATCATACACTTACAAAAAACTTCTCGCAAGAAACTTTCTAGTTTAATTTTATTCATTCACGATGGGGAATATTGATACAAAATTTCGAGGGGATCGAGAATTTACTACTACTAAATCAACTTTTCTGTTTTTTAAATGTAACATTATTTAGATTTTAATAGAATTCACGGAAGAATATCCACGTTCTGAAAAGGACGATTTGTATATGTCCATTATTCCTTTCGAGATAAATATATTAAAAAAAAACTCTAAAACCATCTATACTCGGTTTCCCCTAATTCCGCCTATCTCACGTGAGCATTCGGTAATCTATGATCTCCGAAGGCGAAGAGTATCTACCAAAGAGATATCGACTTGTTCGAAAAAAAAAAAAAAAAAAAAAAAAAAAAAAA